TTAAACTCATTTTCTTTATCTATAATGTCACTCACCAGAATATCAGAGTCAGACATGATATCAAATCTTAGATTAAATTAATATCTTGATCTCTTTCTTTCATAGATCACTACTCTTGACTTTATCTCAGACTTTTGAGGTAAAAAGCAGTAGTAGCTTGAATGAGAAATAACATATTTTTACTCAGTATCAAAGTTCGGCTCCTGAAGCAGTATAAAATCAACTTTTTATTCAAATGCAATTTAAAGACAAGAATAAATGCAATTTGAGTTTCTATTCATATTATTTTGAATAAATATGATTTTTGAAGAGTTTTTAAACTTTTTTTGTTGTTTTTATTGTATATTCATACTAAAAGAGAGTAGAGTAGAATCTAAGCACTATTATCAGATAGTAGATTATAACTGTTCTGAAAAGTAGAAATCTCAACTGCTTGCATTATATCTAGTTTATTATCAGAGTCATTTCTCAATTCTCTAATCTTAACAGAAGTTTAAGAATTCAAATTCTGTTTACATTTAGCTGGAGAATTGAAGTTTGAAGACTTAGACAGTTGAGAGTTTCTTCTTTTTGAGCTTGCAGTTGTGAGTTTACTGGCTTGACTATTCTCTTCAGTTCTAGATTTACTCTGAGCTTCATCTTTTCTCCAGTTCTTTTGAGTTCTTGAAGCAAATATACATTCTTTTAAGCTAGATGCATGTTTTTCTTTGCAATTAGAGTATTTAAGCAGAGTGTGTTGACATATTTCACCTCTTTTTAAACATGTTTCACATTTATGCTCACTAGTTTTATGATCTCTGGCACAGAATGCACATTTTGAGTCTCTGAAACAGGAGATTGCAAAGTATTCATATCTTTGACAGTTTGAACACTGTGTTTGAGCTTTGAGATTCATTCTTGAGTCTTTGTATTCATGAACTCTCATTTTCAAACCTGCTACTTTTACTTCAGAGATCTTTGACTGTTATATTGTCTTTGTATATACTAGAACAGAGACATTTCTTCTGCTTTGTCTGAACTTAATTGAATTTAGTCATACAGGCTTCTTTCTCAGTTGAATAGAGTTGTATTCTTCTAATTCATTTTTGAGAAGTAGCATTTCTTCTTCACAGTCAAAAATTTCAACTGAAATATCATGAAGAATGAATTTATCTCACTTTTCATCTCTTTTAGATAGAATTGTTGTGTTTAACAAAGATTCTACTACTGATTTTCAGAGATTGTCATTCTGAATAAGAAATTCAGCACTGAATTCAGACATTGTAGTCAGAATGATGGAGTTTTCAAAGAAGAATGACTCAATTGAAGCTATAACTGATTTTTGAACTTTAATATCAGTCATTAACTGAGAAAAGAACTGCTGATTGATTTCATTTCTAATTCTGAAAATAAGGTTTGAGTTTAGCTTATTTCTCTGCAATATGTTCTGATTTGAGACTTTGAGAATAAGTCTTCTATTTCTGGAGATTTGAAGATTTTTCTCTTTTTATATTTTTTTCTTCACTCTTCTATCACTAGAAGTATGAGCAGTATTCTTCTCAGTTTTCTCAGAATTTTGAGCAGGTTTTGAGATAGCAGATTTAGAGACAGCAGGTTTAGAGGCAGCAGATTCAGCTGCTTGAGCATATATTTTCTTCTGATTTAAAGAAGAAGAAGAAGAAGAAGTAGAAAAGAAAGAAGAGCAAACTGAAGAGTCAGTGATTGTATTAGAAATTTTCAAAATTTTTTGAACTGTGTTTGAAATTCCAAGTTTGAACTTGATCACTTCCTGTAGTTGTCTAGTCTGAGTATGAAGAATTAACAGAACTTCTTCATTCATCTCACTCAGACACTGCTTTCCAAGAATTTTACTTGCTTTTTCAAGTTTCTGTATTTCAAGAACTTATTGTTTCTCTATTTCTTCTTTCTTTCTTCTCTTCAGAATTTCAATCTCAGGAATAGCATTTGAGAAAGCATCTTTTTCCACATCAACTGAGTGTACTTTTGAACTCATTATTCTTACTCAATGAAAAGTTGGTCAGACTAATTCACTTGAGATATTTATTAAACTCTTTTGAATTGAAAAGTTGGTCAGACTGTTTCAATTAAGAGGTTTCTAAGTCTGTTTTCAATTGAAAAGTTAGTCAGACTATTTTAAAAGAAGAATAGCAGACTTTTGTGTATAAAACACCTGATTTTTTTCACTCTAGTTCAGTAACTAGGTTAGATTTTTGAAGAGAATCTAATAAACTAAAATTGATTTTTAAGATAAATCAATAAAATCTTTACAATCTCTTTCTTAAGATACAGTGAGAAAAAGTATGATATCAATTGATAGTAAATCAGATGATATGACAGTTTTTGAGAGAAAAACTAACAAAAAATAAATCAATTTTTTGCAGAGAAATTGATTAAAACTATTTAATTTTATTCTAAATCATCTAATTCTCCTCACACAACAAGTGTGCAACTCAAATCAGTTAATAAAGAGTGTAAAAAAGAATTAAGTATTAATGAAAGCTCTTCAATCACTGAAAAAGTAATTCTTACTTAAAAGAATATGAAATTATGACAGAAAACAACTCTATTTTTAATTCTTTATAAGAATATTGTGTAAAACTCAGAGAAAAACATCTTACTTTTTCAAGAGAAGTAAAAAACTATTTCTAAGATCTTTTTTTTTTTGCATTAACTGCTGCAGAAGAATGAGATAGAAACTGCTAAGATATGCACTACTGTATACTCTCTATCAAGACTTTCTCTCTTCAGAGTCTTGATATTATAGAGAATATAAGTCTGTTTCTATATGATAATGTAAATATTGTCAGCGGGATGTAGAGAAACTGGTTATTTATATCTTAAAATAGAAGACTTTGTCAATGATTATATCAATATAGAGTTAATTCTCAAATTCAATAGAAACCTAGTGTTGCTGTTCTCAATCCCTTGCAGAATCTATTGAATATTGAGGTATTAAAACTAGATTTAATATATCTCACTGTGCAGGGATCAAAGGCTCAGTCAGACCTTGAAGTATACTGATTTTATAGTTGTTGATGTGCTGTTGACTTGTTGTCTGTTGATTATGTGCTTGATATTATCGCCGAGGTATCTTTTTGTATTTTTCTGCCGGGGATGGGCCAGATTGGGAAGGGCGGTACGAGGGTGGGACTTGGTGTTGGTGTTTTGGAACATCAAAGATGGACAGGGTTTTCGCGGAGGTCGCACCTCAGATATCTCCACAACTACAGATCGGGGATCTTCCAAAATCGAGAAGATTGGTGCATACGGCTAGGTCTCTTCACCTTACAATTTGTATGGCAATTTGGCCCGGGGTTGTGGTGTGGTGGGGGAGAATGGGGGATAATCCCACGCAGGAGTTCCGAACGACGTCTGGTTCACGTTTGGCTGGATAACTCCACCACCACACGGGGTATGCGGTCGGCGATGGGGTCAAAATGCTCATATGATCGAGGGCTTTTCGATGGATCTATCGGCGGGTTCTTATTCGAAAAATCGAGCGAGTTCGTGGTGGAGCGGTTGATTATTGATAATGATCTTTACTTAATTGTAATAAAAGTGATAAATAAGTGAATATATGAGTTGAAATTACTTACAGAATTGAAATCAATTCATTCTATTTTTCACATTTTCTATTTAAAGCTCTATAAGTAATACTCTGCAGCAGAGTCATCTCAGCTGAATAATATTAAGATTGAGAGTGATATTAAATATCTTATGAAGAAAATATTGAATAAATAAATATATTATAGTAAGCTTCAATATCTTATTAAATAAGAAGATTATTTATTATCAGAGATTTCATAAGAACTGCTTAAGTATTTGAAAAATGCTGAGAAAGAGATTATAAGTGATAAGACAGCTAGTAGAGACTGTTCTGTTATATATTAGAGATATTGAATAAGAAATACTACTTAAAACTTCTCATTTTTCTTAAAGAGTTTTTTAGAGATAATCTTGCAGTGATGAGCTGATGTCTTATAAACTTTGTAGCACTCTTCTTCTATTTTCTCTTAAAGAATTTTTTAGAAGTTTAATAAGACTATACAAGTGTAAAATTCCTGAAGTAGTTAGAGAAAAGAGATATTAAAAATTAATAAAAAGATTAATATTATTAATCTGCAGACTGCTACTATTCTAATAGAGCTATAGCTCACTGAAAAAGTAAAAAGAGAAATCTCAGAGTTTACTTATTAATAATCACATTCTCATCAAACTCATTCTTCATTATTAAAGTCTTCAGTACTAGTATCTTTATCTGCTGAGAAGTTAGTACTGTAGTATTATAGAGAAGCATGCTGTAGAAGAGCATAAGAGATACTTGAAGTATTAACTTATTAATTTATAAAGTATCTCAGTTATCTGTTTTAATTAAAGTAAGATTCTCTTTAATCAGTAATTAATCTCTATAATACTTTTAATAGCAGTGTCAGCTGATGTCTTCTTAAGATCAGTCATTCTGAGATGTTTTTTCATCTCAGAGATTCACACTTTCATCTTCTTTTATAGATAAGTGAGAAGAATCTTCTCAGTCTTGACAGAATCTATCAATACTTAAAGCTCTAAGATTCTCACTCTATACTGCTTAAGTATCTAGACTTTTTATTAGAGCTAATATAATATCTTTCTATAAGATAATACTTATAGAGAGACAGAAGTCATTATTACAGATATAATAAAAATAATAAGAGTAAGAGAAGAGATAGATATATAAAATTCTTCTCTTCTTCAGCTGTTTAACACAGTGTAGATAAGTAGTAGTGTCAGTCAGAGATTGTATCAGAGCCTTCTCACAGAGAGAAGATAAAGAAACTGCAGAACTCTGTAGACTCAACTCAGTAGTAGTCTGAGTAGAGCTCAAGTGTGCTGTGAAAGAGAAACTACAGATTGAGCTTCTCAGAGTCACTGTCTCTGAAATCAAGCTCTTTCTGAGTTTCTCTCTGAATGATCACATGAGGTCATATATCACTGTATTAACTGAGAGAGAGGGCGGCATTGCAATGGCAGTGAGAGAGATAGGAAATGAACTGAACACAGACACACTGATCAGTAGAAGGGATGACATCTCACTGCAAGATACAGCAACTACTGTCACAGCTGCAAGAGAAGTAGAAGAAGGTGTGACAATGAGAGCAGTGCTTCTGCAGCTCATTAACATTACTACCTTCAATCTGGCTTTCTTGACAGTCACGGAGGCTGCAGCTGCATCATGAAGATGTTTACTCACTAGAAAACATCAGAATAAGTCTCTTATTATCTCTCAAGAATAATGCTCTCATGCACTCACTATTACAGATGAGAAGAAGGGAAGAAGAATGTGTTACAGAGAGAGAAGATCTTTTCAAAAAATCCTGTCACTACTGTTAACTTTGTCTCTAAAAATACATCACTTTTGCAGAGAATTTCATATATAGAACAGAATATATTGAAAGATCTGTAAGTTACTTATTAATCATATTTTTCACATTTCAAATTAATATATAAGAAACTCACTTATCACATGTTTGATTTAAATGAAGATGAGAAAGAAAGATCTACACAGTTAGCAGAAAAACTCATCTATTTCTTTATATCATGTGTAGTATATATACTGTCAAATCAGTTGACAATCATTGCTATATAATAAAGATAATTTCTAATCTAGTAATCTTAAGAATATCAGAACTATGCTTTTAAAAAGAAGAGTATTATTATACTTCTGACTGTGTCAAGACTCTGTTATAATTTCATACAGCTCATTGCTTTCATGTGAATGATTTCATTTTATTCAAATCAGTTTTCAATCACTCTATGATATTATTCAGATATATCATAGAAAGATTCAATTAATAAATATAAGAACTCTGCTTCTATATAAGATTAGCAGATTACTCTTTCTTGACAATGAGATACTGCTGAGGTATCACTTCAGCTATTCTCACTTATGAAATAGAAGAAGAGTATTCACTTATTATTTATATAGAATAGCTAGATGCTGACTTCTTATCAAAGAAGTCAGTGATTCATTTTTCTTCTACTGAAATATATACAAGAGTTACTGTGTATCTTATACAATCTTCTTAGTATACTAAGTATTATATCTGTGATATTCTTGCAATAACTCTGTAGCCTACAAGCTCACTATTCAAGCAAGATAGTCAAGCTCACTTATACAGCTTTCTAAACAACTACCTCTACATGTCGCCGCTAACTAGCCACTGCTTCGGTTCCGCCACGTTACACAGAGATATCTTTAAGAAAATTGACAGTGTATATTACTGATATCTTATGAGTATTATACTGACTTAGATTAAGATGAAATTATAATTCAAAGATTGCTTGAGTCAGTGTACAATTACAGATGTACACTGACTTCTTATATATTATATACTAAATTAATTAGTGACTGCTATGACTCTCTTTACATTTATAAGCAAGTTCAGAAGTGGCTGTGTTATTATCTGATAGTTGTACATTCTTTCAAATCACATTCTCTCTCATCAGATTCAGTCACACTTATATAATTATAATGTTCATTCTAGCTTTATGTAAATTAGCATGTTACTAGTGTTCACAATTCTGTGATCTATCTCTGATTCAGCTAGTGTTCTGTGTACACTCTCACAAAGAAACTTTCACTATATTATATTACTTATTTACTAACTTTTCTCATTCTTCAATCATCTTCTTCATTATTATCATTATTGAATATTATTATCTCATTCAAGATTTCTATCTCTTTCTTCTCTTCAACTCTTTCTATCTATCTATCTATTATATTATACATATTTCTGGCAATGATTCTCTGTTCTCATAACAAGTGTTATCATAGTACTTATATCAGACAGTTCATTAGCAGTAAGTATAATACATTATGAAACATAATCAGAACTTGTTTATCTTCTAATAATTATCAGAATGTATGATTATGAATGACACATCTTCTTCATCTTCATATATATTATTAACTGTTTTTTCTTCTCAGTGAGCTTCTGATCATGTTTTCTGACATAATTTTATATAAATGCAGATGCTGATATATTTGTTTTTATTTATATAGAATCTTCATGTGTTGACAGATTCATATTTATCAATGATAGTGAATTCAATATTGAATCATTGATTAAGAACTTGAAGAATGTGATAATAAAGAAATTACTTATATTATATATGACTGAGTCTTCTATATTCTCTTCTATCTCTTCTGTCACCTCTTTCTGTACTACTCTCTCTCAATCTTCTACACTTATCTCTGTGTCGGATTCTCCTGCTTCTGCTATCTCTGTTTCTGTAACTCTCACTTCTACTACTTCTACTCTCTCTGATTTTATCATCTCTGCTTTCATTATCAGCTCTCCCTGTTGCAAGAAGATGTTGTATAGACTTAATAAATTATATTTATCAGTGTGTATACTCTTATCTTTCTTACTAACTTCTAGAACAATTTATTATACAAAGACTGTGTATAATATAACTATCTAAAGCTCAGTCACAGACACTGATTATTATATTTATTTTAAATATTTATAATAAGATAATTATTCATTTATATCAGAGAATCACTTCTCTCTTCAACAGTGTTGAGATTGTAAGTCTTTTTCTTTTCATCTTTTCTTTCTAATGCTGATTTTTCTGTTTTTAAAGAAAATTATTATGAGTTTTACTGTACATAAAGTCAGGATATTCACAGATATTAAGAAACTTTTCATGACTGTTAAATTCAATATTATAGATATATTCACTCTGATAAATATCTTTGAAATAATTGATCTGTATCAGTCTATTCTTTGATATTTATTATCTGACTTCATAGTACAGGTGAAGAATATTCATATTTTCAGAAATAAGAATATGAATATTGTACTCTTTTACACTCACAGATGTGAGACTTGTATATAGACTGACTATGTAATCATATCTGAGATCAGAACCAGAATTTTTGATAGTCTCATTGTCAATTCAACAGATTTCATTACACAGTTCTAACATTAGATAGTAGTCTCATACTATTTCAGTGAAACTTACTGTCTACTCTTGTCACATTTTTCAAATAGAATCATGATTTTCACTTCTCAATTTAAATTATTTTTATTGCTTTAAATGACTTTAAATCTCATTGAAGCATTATCAAAAAGTGTTACTTTTTAAAAAATTAAAAATACTCTAAAAAAAACCTTAAAATGTCTAAAAATAGTAACTTTATGCCAAGAATGAGACTAAATGGGATCAAATGAAATCACTTTCTCATTTTTTTCAAGTCATGGTTTCATTTTAAGATCTAATATATAGTCACTTTATCTGTTTTTTTAATAGTCAGTCCCAGCGGGATTCACATCAAGAAATGTATGAGATCAGATTAAATGAAATTAAACATGAAATTCATGATCTCAGCAGCCAGTCTAGATATATTTATCAGAAGAGAAGTTAACTTTGAAAAGATATCTTCTCAGTTTCTTTTCTTCTTCAGCTTCTTATAATCACTGATATAATAATTATCAGCTTCACAGTTGAAACAGAGATCTTTATTAAATCTTTTTTAATATTTCTTCACAGTGAGTGAAGAATTAGAATACTTGAAATTCTTCTTTACTTTCTTCACACTGAAGTTATCATAGTGCTGTTTAGATCTTATTATTAATTACTTAGAAGAGATCTTATTAGTCTTTTTCTCAGAGAATTGATTATTCAAATAGATTCAGAAAGTCAGATTAACAAGCTCAGTATAATTAATTAATAAACTCTGATACTGTGATATTATTATTCATATCTTATAAGTCAGCTTCATGAGATAAAGCTGTGTTTTTAATTAATTTAAATTATCAGTTAATTTCTCTCAATATTCTTCAAATCTTATATTGAAATTAAAAGAATTCTTATTATCTTACTAATATAATAAGTTGAATCACTGTATTACTATGAAGCTGCAGTTATAGTAATCTTCAATTTAATTCAGTAGAAAGTTCTTGAATTCTTCTCAAGTTATAGCAGTATTGATATACTTAAGCTCTCTCTTCTTAATAGCTTAAGTAGTTGCAGAGATATCTTCAAGAAAATTGACAGTGTATATTACTCATATCTTATAAGTATTATACTGACTTAGATTAAGATGAAATTGTGATTCAAAGATTGCTTGAGTCAGTGTATAATTACAGATGTACACCAGCTTCTTATATATTATATACTAAATTAATTAGTGACTGCTATGACTCTCTTTACATTTGTAAGCAAGTTCAGAAGCAGCTGTGTTATTATCTGACAGTTGTACATTCTTTCAAATCACATTCTCTCTTATCAGATTCAGTCACACTCATATAATCATGATATCTGTTCTAGCTTCATGCAGATTAGCATGTCACTAGTGTTCACAATTCTGTAATCTATCTCTGATTCAGCTAGTGTTCTGTGTACACTCTCACAAAGAAACTTTCACTATATTATATCACTTATTTACTAACTCTTCTCATTCTTCAATCATCTTCTTCATCATTATTATTATTAAATGTCATTATCTCATTCAAGATTTCTATCTCTTTCTTCTATTCAACTCTTTCTATCTATCTATTCATTATATTGTACATATTTCTGGCAATGGTTCTCTGTTCTCATAATAAGTATCATTATAGTACTTATATCAGACAGTTCATTAGCAGTAAGTGTAATACATTGAGAAATATAATCAGAACTTGTTTATCTTCTAATGATTATCAGAATGTATAATTATGAATGACACATCTTCTTCATCTTCTTATATATCATTGACTGTTTTTTCTTCTCAGTGAGCTTCTGATCATGTTTTCTGACACAAATTTATATAAATGCAGATGCTGATATATTTGTTTTTATTTGTATAGAATCTTCATGTGTTGACAGATTCATATTTATCAATGATAGTGAATTCAATATTGAATCATTGATTAAGAACTTGAAGAATGTGATAATAAAGAAATTACTTATATTATATATAACTGAGTCTTCTATATTCTCTTCTATCTCTTCTATTACTTCTTTCTGTACTGCTCTCTCTCAATCTTCTACACTTATCTCTATGTCTGATTCTCCTGCTTCTGCTATCTCTGTTTCTGTAACTCTTACTTCTGCTACTTCTACTCTCTCTGATTTTATCATCTCTGCTTTCATTATCAGCTCTCCCTGTTTCAAGAAGATGTTGTATAGACTTAATAAATTATGTTTATCAGTGTGTATACTCTTATCTTTCTTACTAACTTCTAGAACA